GACTACAAAAAGGATGATTACTACAAGAAGGATGACTACAACAAGAAGAAGGAATATAAACGTCATGACTACTACAAAAAGGATGACTACAAGAAGGATGATTACTACAAGAAAGACGACTACAAAAAGGATGACTACTACAAGAAAGACGACTACAAGAAATATTAAATTGATAAGAAGGATAAGCCCACAACAAAAAATGTTCTCATGTATATTTTATTTTTTACATAAGAAAATAATTTATAACTGGTTATTTAAATGGGCACCCAACTTTCCTGTATATATTTCGCTTTTTTTTACAAAAAATTATACATTGTTCTTCGTTAGTTTTTTTATTTTTTAAAATGTATATAAAACTTTTTTAAATCTTTGTCAACTTGATCCGTAAATAAATTAATATTTTACCTAGGTGATTTTTTTTAAAAAAATTTCTTGATAAATTTTCAGTTATCGTTTGCAAAATGACCGTAATATTTAAACTAAATTATATCCATGATGTATTAATCAATGTGAACCAATATTTAATTAATTGTATTACTAAGAAAAATGAATTGAATAAAACGCGACAAATAAAAAATTTTACGCGTTCATTACGAAAAATAAGTTTGAGATAAGCATATACTCTCCTTTGACTTCCTAAAATAAATTCTAATTCCCGTCATTCTTTCCTTTTAATTTTACACCTTTGTTTTTTTGACTAGTCCATTTTTGGTTCAAGTATACTCTCCCGAGTTAATGTAAGCATGGACTATTTTAGTTTTTTCAGTTCCACCGAGAAACGGCAAATTTCCTCGTTTTGCTGATTAGCTAGTAACCATTCATTTCATAACACATAAAAGAAAGGAAATCAGAAAAAAAGGGATTAAGTTTTAAGTTTTATTGATTTGAAAATTTTTCTCGTCAAAATGCTGTGATAAATTTTTTTCGCGTGAAAAAAGAATTGGATTTGTAGCAAGTCAATTTATTAATTTCAAAAAAAAAATTTAAATTATAATTATAATATCTTACATAAACATAATGAACGAATTACATGCATTTGAAATGATACAGTATATATATATATTTTTACAAAATTAATCGAACAAAGCCTCGTTATATCCTAATTCGTCTGGTTCACGTTATAATAAATATATATGTTGTTCTTACGCGTCAGAGTCGCTTCTCAAAAACACTTTATTTCAAAGCACTAAGAGTAGGAAAGGTTGAATCAATACGTAGTTATCCATGAGTTATTAAAAAGAAAAAAACTCTTCGATTCGTACTTTGAATGAAAAGATGACATCCAATATTCGTTTATATATTGAAACACCATTAAAACGTAACATTCAAGTGGGAAGGGGGATATGTTGATTTTCCAGGTCAATTAGGAAATTTATTTTGAAAGAATAATCCATCGTTTTGCCAAGATATGAATATTATTTGACATTTTGACAAATGACGGGCTAATTATACATATCGAGAGGGATATAATAAATTATACACTTTGATCCGGGTGGTCGCAGAACGCATTCAGTTGTTTTAAGTAAAATACGAGACTACAACATTCTTTCGGAAGGCAGGACGGTATTAACATTGAATTGATCTAAATAATGATAAAATATTGATTATTTTAAATTAAAATTTTAATAATTAAATGTAACCAGAATTAGTTAGATATTAAAAGTTTCAATTTAAAGATGTATTCAGCATTATATTAAAAGGAAACCCTAGTCGGTGACATACTTCAACTTAATAGATCGTAAATAACATTATGGAGGAAATAATGATAACAAAAATAAAAATGGGTGATGAATAAAACGGTAATTCAAATTATAATGGGATGGTAAATTACATTAAAGTTTATTTTATTTCAAATGACGTTATTCTAGTTGAAAAAAAAAAGATTTTTTTTTCCAAGAAATTTAAACATTTCTACAACCTTTTGATTATAATACTAGGTAAAAGATTTCTATAGTTAAAAATACCTGTGAATGAAAATTTGGCTAAATAATTCCTAACTATGATTACATTTCAATCTGTAAATACTTAATATAAAATATCCTTCGGTTTTTGAATTAAACCAGATCATTTCCCATAAAAATTAAATCATTAACTTGAAAACTAATTAGATTACTTATCGGTCATTAGTAATTTAAATACTCATGAATTATACCTCTCATTTTTTCTTAAAAACTCACCTCTTTATTAATTTATTATTCATGGAATTAATTTCAAGGATTAGATTCGTAATTCGGAGGAGGATTTAAATCATAATTTGACTGATTGGCCGCATCTATGTAATTCGGAGGATTAGAATCATAGCTTGGAGGATAATATGAAGTGTTATAATCGGGAGGATTTCCATCATAATTATTCGAAGGATAATTTATTGTCAATGTAGCGGAAATATTTTCATCGTCAACATCGTCAACATCGTCGTCGTCGTCGTCGTCATCATCATCATTATTATTGTTAAAATTAGGGGGTGGATCAGTTGAAACATCATCATAAGTAGGCAATGATTCAACCTCGGGTTCAGTTACTTCGACTGTGATAGTACTACCTCGCTGTATAATAAAACTTGTTCCACCTCCCGAATGATGTGGGTTTTCTGAATAAATTGGTGGATTAATTATAACATCATAGGTTTCTCCTGGCACAAGAGATTCTGCTATACATAATTGTTCTTCTTGTGATAAATCCTCGAATGTCGGTGCAGAGGAATAAATATAATGAATCATCTATTATTGATATTACAAAAAATCAAGAACAAGGAGGAGAAAAAATTTTTTTTTCATGTAATAATCAGCGTTGCTATTTTAGAACATTCCATTGTACGACGCTGTTGATGCAATCCTTGCATCATCATTTGTACATTGATAAGTCTTTCTGCGGTTACCTAAAAAAAAATTTCTATTCATACTAATAACAAATTTTCGTTACAGAATTCAGCGATTAAAGTACATAATTTTAATTCTAATAATAATTGAACAAAAAAAAAAACTTTCAAATGAACAAGTTTATTAATTTTCAAGAATACGGTTAATTATTCACTGATAAAATCTCAAAATGTAACTCCTACTTCCGTATATACAGGGGGTTGATTTGTCATACATGGAATTAGAGATGTTAAAACGGTCGGTCCTAAATGGACCTAAAAGTCCAATAAATTTGCCAGTTCTAGAGAAGTTCTTATTTTACTGGCGTTCTATTTTACTTTCTAATGATAATTTATTAATTGAATATATTTATTAAAAATATATATTAAACTTGTGAATGTTAATTTTTGAAACTTAGGATCCGGTCCTAAGGACCGGGTCCCACCTTGGCGGTCCCATGAAAATTGTCGATTTCAAAGTTCATATTTCTTTAACAAGTTATTCATAAAATTTATTATAACAAATAATGTTTAGGAAATTATTAAATTACCTCCACAATTTGTTTTTTTAAAAAAAAATGCTTGCAGTCTGCAGGGGAATGCATTAACGGAGTGAATTGGTTTGAGAAGAGATTTTGTAAGGACGATTTTTAAGAAGTCCAAACGTATAGATGACGGCATTGTTAATAGATTTCAGAGCCGCTTTAGCAAAGATTGATTCTTGATCTTTGCAAGATTTATATAGTAACAACATACTTGCAAAGCCCAAAACCTCACTTTTTTTTAAAACTTTTTGTATAATTGACTCATATTAATTATTTTACTTACACCTCTATATAATTATGTGATTATGTTGAGCAAATGAAAATATCTACGGTCAAAATTCGTCATAAAAAAACTCCCTTTTGTTGTGAACTTTTCCGATTCATTTTTTCTATTATAAAATTTTGAAATCATCATCATATAAAGTTGCGTCTTTCTCTAGCTGTAAAAAATTTTTTTTTGGCCAACTTTTTTTTATAAGCGAATTCGACCGATTAAAGTTTGGAAAATCTAAAAGTTCAAAAAGTGGTTCAATTGGTAGTTCACTCATATATCTCTAGTTATTGATAGTTGTGAAAGGAGGAAAAAAAGATAATAGCAAATTAAATTTAATCCGAAATCGACGTTCAATATTGAAATTGAAATAAAAATAAAAATAAAAATAAACTGAATTAAATTCGCAATTTAAAGAAGAGAATGTACTTTTCAATAATACAAAACTTTCATATTAAATTAAATGTTCTTTTTTTAATAAAAAAGTGTAGAAAAATCCAAAGCGAAATTCACCAAATTTATACAGGTCAAATTGAAACATTTCAATATCTTTAATACAGTACTGTAGGTTGATAAAAATATTTTATCATTGTATCATTGTATTTATTGTCATTTCTAAGTTCTAAAATCTAAATATATATCCTAATATATATATAATGCTTCACAGTGCCTTTTAAAAAAAAAAATAAAAATAAAAAACAAATAAATATATTTATATTTGAAAAAAAAACTCTCAGAATTATCAAATATAATTAAATTATATAGAATCTAATTAGAAATCATAACTTCAATAGCAGTTATTCCGGGTACACCTTTATTGTTAATATAAAGATAATTACGACCGGGAGCAATCATATTACCATTTGGTGGCATTATAACGTCCATAGTGACAACCCCATTGGATTTTTTAACAACATTTTTAACGGTGCAAACAACATATCTTTGTGACATGTGAACTGAATGAGTGACGAATCCATAATGAACGAGAGCTGCTGAAAACACCGCATTTGGATCGTCAATCGTCACGGTTACCGGAACTACCTTATTGTATTTAACTCGAATTGCCCCCTTGTTTAATAAAGTTTTACCGGCTACTGATGTGATAGTGGCACGTTTGATATTCTTTTGGAAATATGGTGGCGTGAACATTTCAACGCGGAAGCTTTAAAAACAATAAAATATTATATACATAAATATTTATTATTATTATTTGACGAAAAAGCACGCGAGAAAATTTATAAACTTACTCGGTAATGTATTTGGTATCTTTGGTTCGGACAACTGCATTTGGATTGCTACCGGTAACAAAAACTCTACCATCAGGTACCAAAGTAGCAACTGAATGATATAATCTGGGAATTTTAGAGGATGTAAGCCTGGTAAATCTCTTTCCAATGGGAGCACGATGATCATAAAGAACCGGGGTAAGAGTTGGGTTATCAGCCTTTTGTTTTTCATTATTATCTATGATAATTGAAAAAATAAAATATTATTTCAAGGCATTTAAAAAAAAATAAATAAATATAACAGTAAAAAAAAATCTATTACTTACTGTAACCAGCAACACCTATTCCAGCACCGTTCAAGAATAAAGTCTTTCCGTCTGCCAGAATAACAACATCTGGCATATTTCTTCCAATACCTCCAAATTCCTCTCTTTCCCATTTAGCATTATTGATATTAGAAAGATTGATTCTACCACAACTATTATCAGCAGGTTGTTTTACGTCATTTTTTGCGACACCACCGCAAACAAGTATTTGTGGTGCATAATTTTCTTCTGGACGTAAAGGTAGCATGACCGAAGTACCAGTAAGTGGGTATGATCTTGGAGGACCTGGAAGTCTATCAAGACGCTTTACAATTGATTTTGTTCCCCAATCCCAAACGATACTATCGGTATTTGAGAAAACAAAAAGTCGTTTTTGATTTGCTGGACCTGGCAAGACATGAACTGCGGGATATAAATTGAATGGCAAACTAATTGAAAAAGATTGTAACGTTAGCAAACGTATACTTTAATAATAATAATAATAATAAAAAAGGACACAAATCACATGTGGCACTTACGTTTCTACGAGGAATGGAAACTTTTCGGGTTTGGAACTTTCTTTTGGAAAGAATTCAAAAGTGGGGTTGTTATTTGCAGCGCTGTTAACAGAAAGAGGTTTTAATGAACCACCGAGGATGAATACTCTTCCATCAGAAAGACTAGTCAAAAAAAATGAAGGAAATGGTCACAAAAATTACTTATAAATCAAATTGAATAGAATTTTTAATAATTTTTTTTTACATACGTGACCATGGATGGGTACCATCTTTTTGAAGTTAAACCCGTCTTATTTTCGAACCAATCACATTTGCCGTTGTCACATGGATCAAACAAACGGATACTTTCAAAACCTTCTAGGAACTTTTCTTTGACCTTTTTTTTTTTAAAAAAAAATAAAGATTATCACGTGTACATAATATAATGTATACTTAACATAAACATAACATTCATTGCTCACCTTGGTTTCCGCGCCACCAGTATGAACTAAGGTACCGTTACCAAGGAAAGATCCGGCAGAACAGAAAGTATTTGTGTTGAGATTGAGCACACGTATCTTATTTGTCGGGATATCATATTCAACAGAAACGGCCACACGACCATCCTTTTGTTTGATCGGATTATTTTCAACTGGGAGCAATAAAATTTATTTAACAAATAATCTAGTTTCATATATTTTATTCATTTACATTTCATAGGCTTACCTTTGTCGATAATTAGGATTTTGGTTGGCGCAGTTAAGACAATGTGCATGGCCGCTATTCCTGAACTATATTGATACAATTAGAAGATGTTTGAATTATCGCTGATTGATTTTGGATAGATCAATTGCATCAAGTTTGATGTTTACTTACTCTCCAACTACCTTGAAAGAACCCGGATTCTTGTTTAATGGAGCTAATGCTCTTTCTGATAATGAGGGGGAAAATATATTATTAGTAAAATTACTAAAATACCTAACCTATAAGCGATGAGGATTTAAAAATAATTTAACAATACTTTTAATGACAGCGGAATCGACTTCATTTGGTGATAAAATGACAGCTAGTGCGAAAAATACGGAAATAATTGGAAATTGTATTTTAAGTTGTTTCATGGTGATTTAGGTGATTTGATTTTAGTTGTGCTATTTTAAAAAAAAATAAAACAAGAAAGGGAATGTATATATCACAAAAAGTGAGACGAGTATTAATGATTTAGAAGTAATGAAGAAAGGGAGGGAGGGAGGAAGGAATGTGGTAGGGAAATGCTTATTCGCTCTTTTAACGATATGCTAAGCAAGATTTTAAGAGATAAAGAAATTTTAATTGCGGGATCGCATCGGTATTTATTCAAAAATCAGACAAACAAACAGCACAGTAAATTCCTTCATGCATGACGCATGCCAAGCATGAGACGATTTTATTTGAAGAAAAAAAATTTTTTTCCGTTGTATGTTTTGTTAAACATTCCAAATAAAATAGAATAATAGGCCAAAAATTAATTTTTTTTAATAAATTACACATAGCAAATACCAATCGAGGAGCGTAACTTGATGTAATACATAAATATTGTATACGCAATTCTAAATTCTCTTTTTCCTTTTTCCTTTTTCTTTTTCATGACTTGATTTTACTGGCAAACGTTACCATATGTATTTTGGTGTAATTCCTACAAATATTATTTCCCGGTAAGATTGATTTGACAATGTTTATTCAACGATCTTAATCATTGTGTACCAATAATGTCCATATAATTTAACAAATGATAAATGTTGATTTGTTAAAAAAGCTAATTCGTGTATAACGTAATTCTCTAACCGCAAAATAATCCTAGACTCTTTGCTTTAACCTAATTGGATGGAGAAAGGTTGTACACGAATTTGTGAACCCGCATAAATAAAACACGATGCTTTATTAAGTTTCAAAGGTATTTATTTATAACTACCTATTTATTCAATTATATTTATTTCATTCACTAAATAGGATTATTATTTTTTTTTATTTTTTTAAAGAAAAGCAGAGAAAAAAAAAAATTTTTTTTTATTTTATTTTACCAGAATAAATAATTTGATGAACTAATTAAATCATACAGTTATTCTTATTGAAAAATGGGAATTTTAGGTGTATGGTAGCTCCGCATAAAATAGTTCGAATCAAAAGCGGTGTCATCCGAGGGAAACACTACTGTAGTGTTGATGAGGAATTCCGATTTCTCCGAAAATTTAAAAAATTCACGTGTTCTGAACTTATAAAAGATCGAGGAAAAAAGCCGATGCAACCTAGATTTAAAAAGTACTTTTGCTATGAATCCGGGACAAAATCTTTTTAACCCGGGTTTTTTTAAAAAAAATAAAAATAAAAACAAAAATAATAGTAATAAAAATAAATAAATCAAAGATAATAATATGCATAATGAAATTCAGAACTAATATTTATGATCACGTATACCTTAATGAGTTAATGAGGGCAGTCTTTATCCTTAACCGTCGTCTTGAGAAGTTCGAATCCAAAACTCACGTGATACTCATCACGCAAATCAATTAAATAAATTAATTAAATAAATTTACTTTTCATATTTTTTTTGTGATATGTTACACGTCGGGGCAAAAGGTGCCTTATAAGTAAATTATTTTAATTAAATTTCTTTTGCTGCATAAAATAGATAATGCAGATGAATATTATAATGTAAAACAAAAGAGATTAAATTAATATTATGAATAAAACAAATTATCATCAAATTCAAACAATTTCTTTTTTTCTTTTTTAGAAAATTAACTGTTCTTTTGTTTATATTTATATATACGTATGTTTCATATTTTAGTTTTATTTTAAAAAAAAACCGTTCCATGATCGCATTCCGTTTTCTTATTTATTGTACGGAATGAATCATTTCCCCCCAACTTTTTTCTATACTCTTTTTTAGGAAAAAAAAAAACCTTCCACTTTAGCAAAAACAATTAAACAAAAAAATGTTACCACAAAAACAATCAACAACCGGGCAGAAAGCCCATCGACGTAACATGAGTTTGACAATCGGTAATAATAGTTCGTCAGAAAATCTCCTTACCCCTCCAAATAACATAAGGGTTGATAATACAAGAAATAATCCAACCTCACAAACATATCTTGCACCAATTGATACATTAACATCGGGAAAAAAATCTCATTTAAATAATATATTAAATGAAAAGATTTCACCTTTAACCCCACCTACAACTCCATCAAAAGATAAACATTATAATCCTTTTACTCTGAAAAAAGTAAGAAAACCTGATGGTAATTTACCTCAATCAACAGTTGTTGATGTAAAAAAACTGTTTTTTATGCTCGTTTTTTGTGGTGCTCTTGTTGTGTTCTTTGGTGCCTTGACCGGTATAGGAATTCCATTTGATGGGAATGAATTTGATATCGTTAATATCGACTCGGATAATTCGGATAATGTACAATTAACTAACGATATAAATGATGGTGAATCCTCTAAAAGTTGGGATGAAAATCAAGAAAATTCTGAGAAACAAAATGAGGAAGAAAAATTTGACGACGATCTTACAAGAGATACTAGCGATAATGACGATATAAATGGACTTGCCAATGCTATAGTTCAAGATCTTGCGGAAGAACCCGAATTAGTAACTGTTGTACCTGATCAAAAAAATATTGATCAAAGTTCAGTACTTCAACCCGAACCAGTTAACATTGATGAAAATGTCGATGAAAAAATGGAAAATATCGTAAAAGACTTGGAAGGCAATTCCGATAAAATCCTCTCAAATAATGATATCGATACTCAAGGAAGTAAAGGCAAAGTTGAACAAAAAATCGACGAAATTTCTGTTTTCTCCAATAAACTTAAAAATAAGAAAAATAGGTATCCCGATTATTTTAATCGCGCATATAGAAATCATGAAACTCATTTCACTTATGATGATGTTTTTGAGTCACTTACAGAAGAAGAACGAGCAGATATTCTTGCAACTAAATCTTTAGAAATTAATACGGACGCAAGTTTGGATTCATCTTGCGGTTCATGGCAAGATAATTATTCAAGGTTACATGAAGAGATCTTGTCAAGAAATGGTTCTCAACGATATGTGAGTTACATTTGTGATGTCAATATTAATTGTGGAGGGTTGGCTGACCGGTAAGGATAAAATAAAAATAATAAAAAATAAAAATAAAAATAACTTAAAATAACTAAAAATACTTTCTTCCTTTGTGATTAGCATTCTTGGAATGACATCTGCATTTGTATTTGCATTACTTACAAACCGAGGATTTCTCGCGGATTGGCAGACCAACCTTCCAATTGAAGCTATTTTCAATTCACCAAATATTGATTGGAGTTACGATTCATTAAATCTACCTTCTGATATTCGAGAACTTGAAACGAGCGAACTTAGCATCATAGATTTCGATGCCAAAAATCTAGATGAAAAGTTTATGCTTTCTAATTGGACAACAAAATATCCAAGTTCTTTTATAAAGTTTTATTCCAATCGTGGAATGATCATAAGAACTTTTGATTCTAAATTTTATGCACAAACATTAAAAGATATGGGATTAAGACCACACACGGCATTTGGATGCATTCTTGATTATTTATTCCGTCCAGTTCCAAGTGCATTATCATTTATCACACAATATACATCATTATTTGCGCTTTCAAGTATATTTACCGTCGGAATACAGATTAAAACTCAGAATGGTTTAAAATCTTTACAAGATTACAAACATTATTTTGATTGTGCGGACCAACTTACACAAACTTATGCTGCGCCACATCAAAAGGTTATTTATTATGTTGTAACAGATTCGGTAAAATTAAGAGAAGCAGCAGTAGAAGAATTAGAACATGTAGTGGTTTCTGGTTTACCTATTGATCCAACTTTTGACAACCTTGATGATATTGATAGTGCAAATAATGCTATTATTGAAAATTGGATTTTTAGCAAAACGGATTATAGAGTTAGTACAATTAACTGTTAATATAATTTAAAGCTAGGGAATATGTAATTAAAAAAAATTATTTTTTTATTATAGGTAATTTCACCAGGAGATTATGGTAAATTGGCAGCTTTCCATTCAAAGCAATTGCATACCACAGTTTTCATGGAAAATTCTCATAATATTCCAGATTGTACGAGAGAGGTAAGGACAATTTATTAATTAATTTTTTTTTTTTTTTTGATTTACGACAATATATTCATTCATTTTGATTTCCTTTTAATTAATTATATATAGGATACGTTTATCACATTTAATAATTTAGCAAATGAATCTTCATTAGGTTAAAAAGTTAGATAAATAAAATAAAATAAAAGTAATTAATTTAATGTAAATTTAGTATTTTTAGAATTAGAATTTGTTATAGATTCTTATTTATTATGTCAAATATTTAGATGAATTTTTTTTTTTTTTAAAAAAAAAGAAAATATTATTAGTGAATTATTTATTATAATTTACAAAAATATAAAGTAAAAAAAACTTTTGATTTCGTATAATACGTGTAATGCATGCAAGAGGGATGTTCTTTTACATAAAATTAAATTTGTGAACAAAAAATTAATTGTCGTCCTGCAGAATAAAACTTCCATCTGCACGATTTTATCTTAAAATACCCTTTTTTTATATTGTAGAACATAAAGGTATTGATTCGATTGGATCAAATTCGTCCTTTAGAAAACCACATTTATATGTTGTGTTTATTGTTTATTTATTGCCTTTGCCTTCATTACCACATTACACGTTTTCTTAAACTATATGAATTTTTTATCTAATTATCTAATTATGTAATGGTGAATGAAGATGCTCAAATTTTGGTTGGTAAGTTTTCTTCATCGTCTATATCGGTTTCACTGCGCCACTAAATTTAAATAAAAGTTTTTTATTTCAAGGTCCATTTTGAGAAGATACCTTGATGCTGGATATTTTGGAAATTGTTGGTTCTGGTTTGTTGTTCTACTCCATTATTAGGATTATGTTGAAACAGACCAAAACTTCATGTCAAATTATTCGATTTTGTCTTCGTAATGATTTTCTCTCGAAAATTGACTTTTTTTGATAACTATAAACATTAAATTACCTAAAACAACCTATCATTTTTAACTAAAACAAAAAGTTAAGTTGGACCACGTAGCCTGCAACCAGTACAACCAATTAAGCCGGTCTATTCGAGGACACCCGAGGGAAGATATATTCCAATCTTGCAAAAACATGTATTTAGCTGATTACTCGGGTTTGTCAATACATTACGTAATTATCGCGTGACCGAAATGTATTCTAGCCCTTTAAACCCATCCACCTTCAAGAAAACTAAGCATTTCCTGAATTTATGGTTAACTTCCAATGGACGAATCCAACGTTCTTTCTAAGTGATAATTAAAAAAAAGAAAAAAAAGAGAAGATGGGGGGGTCAGACCAGATTCGATCGAAAGAGAGTCTGACATCCAAATAGATGCCATCTGAACAGTATTATTCTGCTAAAGCTTACTCTCGAGCTTCAGAGAAATTGGGCACATAGCTTTACACAGTCTCAAGAGG